GTAATGTCTGATGAAAACAAGGCCATATATTGCTTAATTCTCTTCCTGACTCCTACAATGAGGTGAAAACTGCTATAAAATATGGAAGGCATAACTTAACATTAGACATTGTGTTAAATGCTTTGAGATCCATAGATCTGGAAATTAAGAAAAACAAAGCCAAAGACTCTAAAGCATTGATGGCTAGGGACAAAACAGATCAAAAACCAAATAAAAGCAATAATAGAAACATATCTAAATCTCAAGGGAAGGTTAAGAAGTGTTTCTATTGTCACAAAGAGGGTCATATAAGAAGAAATTGTTTTGAGTTGAAAAACAAGCAGAAAAATGAAAACAAAAGAGATGAAGAGTCACATAATGCAAATGTGAAAGAAAATTATGATACTGCTAAGGTTTTAACAATATCTGAAGGGAGTTTTAACTTTGAATGGATCTTAGACTCTGGATGTAATTTTCATATGACCCCTAATAAACATTGGTTTAAGAAATTTCAAGATATTGAAGGAGGAAAAGTGCTACTGGGTAATCACCATGAATGTAGCATTAAAGGGATTGGGAGTGTCTTTGTTAAAATGTTTGATAATCAGGTCAAGAAGCTTACTTCAGTAACATATGTGCCTGATTTGAAAAGAAACTTAATATCCTTTGATGTCTTTGATAAAAGTGGCTACATATGCAAACTTGAGAATGAAACAATGAAAATTATTAAGGGAACAATGGTTAAGGCCAAAGGATATTTACAAAATGGCTTCTATGTTTTGGATGAAAATACAATTATTGGATGTTTTGCAGTAGCCTCTTCAAAAGATCAACAACATACAAAAATGTGGCATATGAGGTTGACCACATGAGTGAAAGGGGATTAAAAGAGCTGTCAAAGCAGTGACTACTTGGGAAAACAACCATAGATTCACCTAACATTTGTGAACATTGCATCTATGGTTAACAAACTAGATTTTCTTTTGGCAAAGGAAAACATTGCTCAAGAGGGATTTTGGAGTATGTTCATGCTGATTTGTGGGGTCCTGAAAAAATATCTACCATAAGGAAGCAAGGTATTTTTTGTCAATAGTTGATGATTTTTCACGGAAGTATGAACATATCTACTTAAAACTAAAGATGAAACCTTCAGAAAATTTGTTTAATGGAAAACATTAGTAGAGAAACAGATTGAAAGGAAGGTAAAGAACTTGCAGACTGATAATGGGTTGGAATTCTTGAGTAATAAATTCAAAATTTTCTGTGCAAAGAAAGGGATCAATAGGAATCTAATTGTTAGAGGAACTCCACAGCAAAATGGGTTGGCCGAGAGGATGAATCGAACGTTGCTTGAAAATATAAGATGCTTGATGTCAAATGCTCATTTGCCAAAGAAATTTTGGGGTGAAGCACTGTCAACAGCAACTTATTTAGTAAACTGAAGTCCATCCTCTGCCATTGAATTTAAAACACCCATTGAAAAGTGGTCCAAACACCTTCCAGACTTGAATAATCTTAAGATTTTTTGCTGCATTGCTTATGCACACAGCAAAGACAGTAAGTTGGACAATAGAGCCAAGAAGTGTCTATTCTTAGGTTATCCTCATGGTGTCAAAGGTTATAAACTGTGGTGCGTTGAAAAAGGTGAAGAAAAATGCATGAGATGTAAGCTTTGATGAGTCTAAAATGGCTTATGAAAACGTAACATTAGAGGATAATCAGGAAAGTGTCACTGGACAAACTTTTGAAATGGAGTTGGAACTTCCAACTAGTAAGACAGATGTTGTTGATCAAGTACAGAATCCTAATGAACCAGATAATCCTGATGAACCAGACAATGATATTGAACTAGCTGCAGAACCTATTATCACTCAGCCTTTACAAGACTACAGTCTTATTGAACACTGGTTTGGTTGGTCTGCTGTTTAAGATTATATTTGTTAACTGATATATTAGATATTCCATTAGTAAATTAGATCTAATAGTGATTATCAAAACTATTATGCTTGTTTCCAGTTTCCACTCCCTTGAGAATTGTGATAGGTTTGCTATTAGGATAGATTAGAGATATTGTTAGGGTATCAAGGGTATAACTGATATCCTAACTATCAATACTACTAGTTTTTTCAAATCTCCCCCTGAACTATTTGCAACCTTGTGCATAACACGTTTCTCAGATGCTCTGGTAACGCCAAACCGCAACACATACACTAAAGCTTCTCTGTAGCTAACAACCACTACCTCATATGCCTTCATGAGTTTCCACCTGTTCTCTACGAACTCACTTCTTTAGCCTTCGTCATCCAGTTTCCCCGCTAATATCAAATTCACCCGAAACTGGGTACATAACTCACACCATGCAAAACTAGCTCGGTCCTACTGTCGGCCCTGAGACGAACATCCCCAATTCTTATGATCTTTAAGAGCTTCCTATTTCCCATCCTCAATACGCCATGATTTGTTGCAGTTAAGGATGTGAACAAACTCCTATCTGAAGATATATGCACCAAAGCTGCACTGTCGACTACCCATTATGATGACGAATCCACAAAAGTTGTATCACTCTCAACGGATGCTAACAACATGTCATTTGATAAAGCATTGTCTGTATTTTCTTGGCTTTATCCTCTTTAAGCTTCTTGTAGTGTTTCTTGAAGTGACCCTTCTTGGCAGTAGAAACATTCAATCTTGCCACTCCCACCTCTCTGGCCATGTCTCTGCTATTTCGCATAATTCATATTCTTTTTGTCACTCCAAATGGTTCTTACCACCAGAAGTGGATTCAAAATTCTTTCCAGTTCTTTTCTTTCGAATCTCCTCAGCAATTGCAGTGTCACAGATATCTGAAAATTTCAGACTTTTGTCCCCCAATGAATTTGACACCGCCATCTTTATCGTTTCCCAACTATCAGGCAAATAAGACAAGTTTATAACTTTCACCTCCTCTAAAAAAGTGATCTACATCGACTCCAACTGGTTTATCAGTTTAGTCACCTCATTGATGTGGGAGTTCACCGACGTTTCTTCCTCCAAATGAATGTTTAAGTATCTCGTAGTGAGATACACCTTGCTGTTGGTCTAGGGTTTTTTTATACCTATCTGTCAGTGCCTTCATGATTCCCATCGCCGTTTTCTAACTCACCAGGATACTTGCCACATTCATTGACAAACACAACCTGATGATCCCTACGACCTATTCATCAATCTCCGCACATTCCTTGTATGTCATCCCAATAGGTGGTCATTCTTTCAGGGTTTGTGTATCTTCTTGTATGTAAGAAGATCTGTCACTTGCATCTTCCAAAACCCAAAATTTTCCCCATCAAATCTCAAAACTCCCCTGAAGTAGTGATGTGACTTTCCACGGGATCCCATGATACTGCAACTTTACAGCTCTCATACCACTAGTTGGGAAAATTACTTACCATGAACTTTTCTCCTTCCACAGTTCGTCAGTGAAAAACACAATCAACCACAATAATAAGAGAAAGTATGAAAAGCACATAAAGGACACAAGCAAATTTATACTGGTTCACCAAACTCTAGGCTACGTCCAGTCTTCCGCGACAATGGGTTTGTTCTACTATGATATTGGAATAAATACAATGGGCAATACAATCTCTCAAATCTATAGGTCTCCACAAAATCCACCTAGCTTCGAGAAACTACAACTATAGAATCCTAGGAAACAAGAATGAAAAACCTCACCAAATACCCACGATAATAGGTTGTCGATGATGCACTACAACCCCAGGATCTCGTCTCTATAACTCTGCCAAAGCATTGCCCTGCTGCCCTGGTGATTCTGTGCAACTACACACCCCAACGACCACTTGAATTATGTGCTACAACACATTGCAGCGTTGCCCATTTTATTTTCATATCCAGGTTGATTTATTTGAGGCGTGCTCCCATGCCCTAACGTGGATCTGCCCCCGCATGTGCTGCGTGGTTTTCATCTCTCTCGGTAAAGGTTGCCTCTAGTTTGAGGTTTGTTTGAATCTTAGATTGATAGCATGCAACATAGTTTCAATTTATCCTCCATATTTTTTCTCAATTTGTGAAAAAATCTCACGGAAATTGTTTCGATGATGATGGGCCATATTCATAGCTCTAATGCTATACTCACCCCTTCGCAGGCTGAATAGTAGAAATTTCAAGGAATAGTGGGTTTTTTATTCTTTTTACGGACTATTTTAGTCCTATTGAAATAATCAAATAACCTACCATTTATCACAATACTTAGTATTATTGTTTGTAGAGCTGATTGCCTTAATTATAATTATAGTTATAGAGTCTCCAATTTATCTTGTATAAGATCATCATCAACTACTCTAAACTAAAGTTATTATTAATAATTATGGACAAATTTTGTAACGTTTTGTTTTTTATCGTTTTTTAGTTCAACAACTCGTAGAACTAGAAATTTGAATCTTCGACCTCTTGATCTAGGATATATATATCTTACGAGTTGAGATACATTCAATTTAGCATAAAACATGTAACGTTATTTCATAAATGTCAGAAATATATTTCATTCGTTGCACAGTAAAAAATTATAGTTTAATACACAGTAAAAAATTATAGTTTAATATTTTGAAGGAATGTAACGAGTGAATTGCAACCAAGCACATATTTACTTTCTACATTTGACAAATAAGAGGAAAATATCTTCAAATATAAATAGATAAATAAAATATCAAACCAAATATAACCGAGAAGAAATACAAAATAAGTAATAAACAAGAAAACAAAATAAGTAATAAAGCAAACTTTTATTAACTCTCAATAGAGAAGTACCAACATTACAACACGACATTTTATTATTATATTATTGTAGACATCCCTACAATATATACTTTTATTCTTTTACATAGATAATACAAACTAAAGCCACACACATACATTAAGGAAAGGAAATACACGATTGCATTTAGCACATGCAACAAGCCTTTTCAACATTCTCGTGAGGGTTTTTGAAAAATGTTACCCATAAACATTCTTATCAGTAGTAGTATTAGTTAACTTGCTGGTTTGCTTTTAGTTTCATACGTGAAATTGTAGTTATTGACACCGTGGTAAACACCATCATCCATTTCATAATATTTGATTTCCCCATTAATGAGAGTGTCACGTTGACTATACGAGTAGGGCACATCACATTTACCTGTCGTTGCCAACAAACTGACAATCACAGTAGTCTTTGGTGGCACAGTTACTTGATATGTGCTTCCAACTGTTTGTGTTTTTGTTATAGTTTTTCCCCATTGGTATGATCCAGTAAGCTCAGACGATACTTCAACCTTTCCATCAACAATACGAGGAATTCCTGTTTGAATAGTGGTTTTAACACCCAATTTAATAGAGATTGAAGAACTCCACGCGCTTGATTCGGTTTCAATATACGATAGATTCAAGTTCATTGTGTTGGGTACTTCTGTTCGGTTGGTACCATTCCCCGTGGCCATCACAAGTACAGTTTGATCATAGATTCTTGAATCGGCAGGATGGAAATTTATATTATAGATTTCTCTTTCAAGAACAGGCTCCTCCATCTGTAACCGTGAATATGCATCAATTGAATCCGTAGCAGCATTGAGACAACTTGTCTTGCCTTCGGTTGTGAGCCTCTTGATAAAGTTGTTATTACCTAAGTTACGAAGAGCAATAACATTATTGTTATCAACTTTAGTTGGGCAAAACAAAGTGTCGGGATTGTTTGTTGAGGTGTCAGTGGAATCAGCCCAAATCCAATTAGGACTACGCCTCCAAAACTTTCCAAAGTAATTTGACTTAATTCGAATATTTCCATCTTTTGTGATGAAGGTTTCCATCCGAACCCTGGAATCGCCAAGATCACTCGAAGAAAATTGGTGATATTCGTGACCTTCAATCCAACGAGAACTGAGGTAGCAGTCATTATCACCCTTAAAAGCAACATATTTAGGTATTGAAACCAAAGCTTCGTAATCAATGACTGTGTTAAGATCGCCAAGACTGCAATCGTCAGGGTATGGAAAACTTGCACGCAAACAGTTCCCTTCTGCAAAACCAACTTGCCACAAGGCCACAAAATAACCAGTAAAAACATGGCGAAATCGAAATGCTTGATGAGAGCTATCATAAACAGGTTGGAATAGTGTGCAATTCCATTTCGATTTGTCTTCCTCAGGCTTTTCAGCCCTTGCAACAGTAGGATGAGTATAATTAGTTTCAGACAAACTAACCCAATATTTGTTGTTGTAACAACATCGTATGTTGACCAATGAGAGGTCACATTTGGATCGTTCTACTTCAAACTTTGTGTATGGACTTAGAACAGCCTCCCCAGAATATTGCAAATATGTTTTTATTTCTGAATCTTCGTTCACATAGCGCAAATAGCCGATTTTTCTGTAGTCGTTCTTTAATTTAGATTTGAATGCTACGTACCTTGGAAGCTGCACCATTTTCTTCTTTTGCTCTTTGCTTCGCCTTCTTCCACAGACAAAGTTGTGTGTTTGCTATGTTTGGTAACTCGTACTAGCAATCCTATTTGTAGGATGGGAAAAAGAATATCCCACTCATCCAAAACTTTCCTCTCATCCATAAGATTCCACGCTACCTTTTTATTTATAATTTCTTGAAGAAAATAAAAACAATAAAAAATGGATTTCTCATCAACTTGACTAGATTCCATTTTTAACATATGTAATTCTAAATAAAGTTTTAACGAAAAAAAATCAAAATTTACCCTCGATTTCCCAATTTGTATTAGTTTGTACCTTTTGATTAAAACTTAAATTTAGAAAGAGTTGTAATTTTTACCTTAAATTTGAAAATGTTTTGTAGTTTTTACTTTTTGATAAGTTTTTATTTGAAAAAGTATTGTCATGTGTATTTGATGGATTATAAAACATATGATATATAGGTAAAAAAACTAAAACAAATCAAAAATAAATTTTATGGGGAGTTTGATTTTATTAAATTTTATGGAGCTGGAGAGAAACCACAAATTCACATTTGGGGAGAGCTTCATGTTCTAATTTCTGGGCTAGGAATTCGCTCTTCTAAGAACAAAGGCGAACCGGAATAAATCGATAGGCCGATCAAGATCAACAAGCCACTGATAGGCCAATCAAGATCAACAAGCCACTGATAGGCCAATCAAGATCAACAAGCCGTCGATAGACCGATCAAGATCAACAAAGTCGTCGATAGGCCGATAAAGTCAACATCAAGCCGCCGATAGGCTGATCAAGATCAACAAAGCCGTCGATAGGCCGATCAAGATCAACAAAGCCGCCGATAGGCCGATCAAGATCAACAAGCCGCCAAGAATTCAAGGGAAAGATTCAAATGATAAATATTAGAGATTGTAGAAATTGTATTCAGTCCACGAAATATAATTCCTCTAGAAATTTCATGTGAACAAATTATAATTCACAGTCAACAATACTAATTGTAGAAAAAGTAT